CCAGCCCCTAAAGCATTTCTTTTTTTTTTTTTTTTTTTTTTTTTTTTGCGGAACCATGGATTGAACTCAGGCCCTTGCGCTTGCCAGGGAAGCACTTATTCCAATGAGCCATCTCCCCAGCCCCCAGGATGCCATCTTTAATCCAGTTTTGTCCCCAGGACCTGAAGCCACCACCTCTTGGCTGTTCAACTCACTTCCTATCCCCCCACCTCTGCTCAGAAGCCTGCATAAGCTAGAGCTTAATTATGGCTGAGGGGAAGAGACAACTGGAACTACGGGAAGATTTGAATCTGCAGCACTGATTAGATCCATTGGGCCAGCCAAATAGCTCAGCGGATTAAAGTGCAAACCTGTAATCCCAGCTCTTGGGAGGCTATAAACAGGAGGATCACTACGAGTCAGATCTAGTAGTAAGACCCTGGACACCCTGTAGACTCTTCCCTAAATACAAAAAAAAAAAAAAAAAAAAATCCATTATCCACTGGTGGCCATGAGTGTCTAACCCTTTTCCATAACGACGCCATGTGCTATTCTCTCCTATGGGGGGAGGGGAGTCTCCTGCAGAGTTGACTCCCGAGTCCCAAGGGAGGCTCCAAACTACCATGTTGGGAGGAAGCCCAAGCCACATAGGAGCCACACATCACTGTGCTGTTGGCATCAATGGCTGAGCCTACCCTGGGCAAGGAAGGGCCTCCCACACTGAGGATTAATCCTAAAGCCTTCACACTGAACTGCATCCCTTTTCTTTTTCTTTTTTTTTTTTGCGGAACCGGGGATTGAACTCAGGCCCTTGCACTTGCCAAGGAAGCGCTTATTCCACTGAGCCATCTCCCTGGCCCCCCTTTTCTATTTCTTGAGGCAGGTCTCTCTCCCTAAATCTTTAAATTGCCCAAGTGGGGGTGCAATCTTCTTGCCTCAGCCTCCTAGGATAGGATGACAGGCATGTGCCACCATGCCCAGGTAAGAAGCTAGCCTGGGCTACAAAGTGAGCTCAAGGCCAGTCTGAACTGCATAGTGAGACCCTGTCTCAAAAAAAGAACCTAACTCGAGTGGAGCCTGGGGATCTTTCCCAGACACCTTGGAGGACAAAAGCCTGCCCTGGTGCCCTCCAGATCCAATGCACACTGCATGCCATCGCTAGAACTCAAGTCTGGTCTGCCACAGGCAGTGCTAAGCAAGGCATCGGGGACAGAAAGCCAGGTTTTTGACTTTTATTAAATCCTTACAAAACAGAATACAAAATTCTGGCATTGACAGTTGGTGTGAAGGAAAACTTCTGCGCTGTCTGTTCACCTGGTACAATGCTGTTTAAAGTGCTTGGATGTCCTCGTCCCACTTTTTAAAAAAAGTTTCAAAGTGTGTCTTCTTACACGTCATCGTCCGTGGCTGTCCCCTCCCTCAGCCAGTGCTGCTGCTGCAGGGTCATCCACTCGTTCACAGTAATGGTTCTGACTTGCCCTCTCTGCTGCAGCATGGAGGCAACAGCGGGAAACAGGAAGTGACAGTCCTACCTCTTGAGGGGAAAAACACAAAAATTGAAAGCTGCTCATTGCCCTGCATTTGGAATCCAGTGGTCACGACATCTGCGGCAGGCTAAGGTCCATTTGTTCTTTCACTTGAGAAGGTGAAGAGCCCCCAGTAGGCAGGACCACAGATAGGCAAGCGATGGGAGGTGGGGGCAGGAAGCACCCCTGGGTCTTTGGAAAGGCCAGTCCACAGACCGCGGACTGGAGAGGGCATGGCACCCCCACCACCCCCCAGACTGACAACTGTACGAGACTTTGGGGGAAGGCGGCTGAGCAGAGTCTGAGCCCCCTACCCATAAGGCCCCTCAACATTCAAGTATTCTTCGAGAACAGAGAAGCAAGTCAGATGATATTTTGTTTTTGTTTTCTTTTTTAAAAAAACTAAACACAACAAACAATCCCGACCACAGATTTGGAGGCCAAGGAAGCAGCCCTGCCCTGACCCAGACACCTGAGCAGACCCTGGGCCAGGCTGGGCAGGGCATACTGGGGCCCAGGCGCCCCCGACCTGCAGGGCCACGCGTGCACGTAGAAAATGGGAACTCATATTGCATAGTAGTTCACGGCTGGCCAAGGACAGGAGTGTGGCCCAGGCTCCTCTGCCCCCGATAGGCTGACCAGGTGCCTGGTTGGAGCTGGGGGGAAATGTGGGTGGGGTGGCACCCAGGGGACCCTCCCTGACCATTTCTGGGTGCCCCATGGGAAGCTGAGGCAGCTGCAGCTGCTTTCCTGAAAGAGGGTACAGCTAAAATGCTGCCCTTGGGAAACAGGGTGGGGAATTCTCAGGGGGAACCCCTGGGTCCAGCTCCAGCTCCAGGGATGGGTATGGGGCCAGCAGAGCCTCCGAAGGCCAGACCCAGGGGCGGTGTGGGGCAGAACGTGGCTGTGGCCAGACTGAGCCCTGAGAAGGGGCACTCGGGTGCCCAATGGGGTGGGGACACTTTGGGATCCCATGTTGGCAGATGGGTGCCTGCCTGGGGCCAGAGGCGCATGGCTGATGCCAGGCTCCAGCTTCAATCCTGGGGGGAGAGGGGTACATCCCCGTCAGCTGTAGTATAAGGTCAAGGTCAAAGGCCGAGTCCAGCTGGCAGGGGCCTGCTCAGACAGGCCTGGGAAAAACCCCGATTGTCAACTCTCGGGGACAGGGCAAGTGGGAGCTCAGGTCTAGGGGGCAGGAATAGGGGTGGGCAGCCATCCGCCCTGCCTATGGAGACGGAGCACCCCCTGCCCTCCCCAAGCCAAGAGACCGCTGAGGGGGCCATTCCTGAAAACACCAAGGGCTGGGAAGGGAGCTGGGGCCCCTGTGCACTCCCCTGGTGCTGGAAGACAGCAAAGTGGCTGGAGGTGGGCGACGTGGGAGGTGGCAGGGGCGCAGGTGACTGGGTGGCGGGGAGACCTTCACAGTACAGGTGAACATCACGGGGCAGCGGAGGGGACTCCAGGCCATGCGGCCTCCGCTTTCCTCCCCGGGCACTTGCTTTGAACATTGTTAATAGGAACAAAACAAAACAAAACACATAAAAACAAAAGATGAGAGGGGGGGCTTGGGGAAAAGAGGAAAAAAACCCGAACAGCAAAAACCTTCTATAAAAACCACCCTCAGCTGAGCTCAGCCTGGGGAAGCAGCCAGAGGGGAGGGCGGCCCTGGTCCCTGCTGGCTGTAGCTTAAAAACCTTTCAGATCTGATGGGGCAGGGGCAGGGGCGACCTATGTACATGGACAGCCACGGGAGGGGTCACGCGCGGTCTCCCACCAGAACCACGGGGGCGGAGGACAGACTGGCCCTCTGTCTCCGCTGGGCAAGCTTGGACTCAGAGGGCGGGGACAGCTGCAGGCAACGTGAGGTAGCGCGGATGACGAGGGGCGGGCCCTGCCCTGCGGCTGCCTCCTCGGCCGCATCCTCTTCCCGCTGGGCCAGCTGCCGGTTCATGGCGATGGCCTCGGCTGCAAAGGACGTGAGGTCTTTGGCACAGCTGTTCCTAGGGCACAGGCAGGGGCACCATCAAGGACGGATGTACTCTTAATTGCTCCTCCCTGGGGACCACTGGGCGGCTACAGAATCTGCCACCAACCCTTGGGGGCTTGGGGGGTTAAGACAGCCAAGCCCTGAAATACCCATTATCACTTAAAGAGGCTCTTTTAGTCTTTTTTTTCCAGTAATGGGGATGGAATCCAGGGCCTTTCCACTTAACTATGCTTCCAGGCCCTTTATTACTTTTTTATTAATTAGTTTTTGGTTGTTTCAGAGACAAGGTCTGTTTAGTGCAAGCTGGCCTTGAACTATGTAGCCCAGGCTGGCCTCAAACTCATGGTAATCCTCCTGCCTCAAGCCTCCCAAGTGCTGGGATTATAGGTGTGTGGTTATAGGCGTGCGCCACCATGCCCAGCTCTTTTTTTTTTTTTTTTTTTCTCGTGCAGGGTCTCACTACCCAACTCGGACTTGTAGTGATCCTTCTGATTTCTGCCTCTCTAGTGATGGGATTACAGGCAAGCGCCACCCATGCCTGGACTCCATTGCTGGTTTAGCATGCCCCAGGGGTTGAACCCTGGCCCCTACACTTACTTAAGCAAGCGCTTAGTCCACTGAGCTACACCACCGGCCCTCCTCTATTATTGGGTGTTTTTTTTTCCTTTATTATTTTCTGAGACAAGGTCTCACTAAATTTCCTAGGCTGGGCTTGAACATGTAATCCTCCTGCTTCTGCCTCCAAGTGCTGGGATCACAAGTGTGTACCACTATACCCCACTGTCTTCTGGTCTTTCTCTGAATGCTACACCCCACATGGACCTCGAGCTGGTGCAGGCCTCACCTCTGCAGGACCATGGGCGTGGGCAGGGTGTTCTCTGGAGCACACTGCAAGAGGACAAGAGTCAGCAGCCAGAAGCACCTGACCCAGCCAGGCCCTCCCCCAGATCCCTTGCGGGCTTTTCTGTCCTCAAAGACTAACAGCGATCTGGTCAAAGGAGGCCCCAAGTTCACCCTCCAGGACTAAGAACGAAGCTGGCCACCCTTGGTACCAGACAGCAACCAGCCTCTGAGGTTCTGTGGCCCACCCCAGGGAACCTGGGGTACCTGAGCCAAGCCCCAACAGGGTGGCAAAGGATGCAGAAACCCAGAAGCACAGGATGAGTGGGGGTACAGAGGCTCCACAAAAATGCTCCTCCTGACAGCTCCCAGCCCTTTTCCCAACCCATAGGTCTCTGGCTAGCCCCTGTCCATGGAACCCTGAGAAGCCCAGCTGTGTTAGCTGAACCCAGAGTCTTGGTGGCCTGGCTCCCTTGGGGTGACAGCTGGGCTCTCATGAGGCCTGGCCTGGGGGAAGCCCAACCTCTCGAGTGGAGACTGAGACACTAGAGCAGCCAGGTTACAATCTGGCTAAGGGTGGCAGGCCAGAAGCTGCACTGGCAGGCCATTCTGCCAGGAGTCATTGCCACCGGCCACCTGCCTAACTCCTGCCAGGTCCTCTGAGTAGCTACTCCTGTGAGTCCCCCACCTCAGCGTTGAGGGCACAGGGGATTCTGTCTGTACCCCTTGGCCCAGGTCTCCTGGCCCCAGACTCACCCCCTGCACCCAGGGGTGCTGCAGGACTTGGGCAGCACTCAGTCGCTGCTTGGCATCTCGGACGAGCAGCTTGGAGATGAGGTCTTTGGCAGCGAAAGAAATGTGGGCCCAGTCTTTGTCCGGGAACTCGTACTTGCCCTCCTGGATGCTCTCGAACAGCATGTTCTGGGGATGGGAGGGGCAAGGGTCAGGAGCAGCCCACAAGATCAGGGCCATGTCCCTTGTACCCCAGTGGGCAGATTTGGATGCTACAGATGGCAACGAGGCCTGTCACCAAAATGCAGGGTGGACAGAGGGCTGGAGACGGCCCAGGTCCTGAGGCCAGCTGGCAGAGCTAGACTCTACAGAGCAAAGGGAGAGGACAGACATTGGGGACAGCATTTTGTTTTGTTTCCCAGTATGGGGACTAAACCCAAGTCCTTAGCAGTGAGCTACACCCAGGCTTTATTTTTTGAGACAAGATCTCACTAAGTCACAAACTAGCCTAGGCTGAGCTCAAAATGTAATCTTGCCCCAGTCTCCCAGGGTATTACGCTACCACACCCAGCTAGAGGGGGTTTTAATGCTCTCCCCAAGTGCTGCTAAGACTTAGGAAGCAGCTTGGGGGCATGTGGCTCCAGGGGACAGAAGTGATGCACAGAGCTTACAACCTCTGCCCCACGTATCTGCTTTCTTTCCTGGGATTGGAAATCCAGGAATAAGGCTGGGCATGGCCAGAGGCTGGTCAGTGACTGGCTCTGGGGTGCAGACAGCCCCAGAGAGGAGGGGTACGTAGGCCTGGCCTGGGGTCACCTGGCAGGCAGGACAGGCCTCGCCACGGTCCCAGCCGCAGTCGCTGCCACAGTGGCCCACGAAGGGCGGGTAGCCGCTGAGCAGGATGTAGAGGATAACGCCCAAGCTCCACAGGTCACAGCGCTTGTCGTAGATGCTAGCCTCCTCGCTGAAGGCCTCCACTACCTCGGGGGCCATGTACTCTGCGGAACCGCACTGAGGGCCAGGAGTTCACTGTTAGCCTAGGACGCCCCGCGGGGAACGCAGAGCATTCACGCCTGCCTCAGTGCTCGCGGGGTCACACCAGTGCAACCCGCGGGCCTGCCACGCCACCCAAGAAACTGCTGCTGAGCCCGCCCTACCCAATTAGCATGTCCGGAACTCTCCTTGCCCCACTCCACATACCCTATGGTCCCGCCCACCTCACTTTCCCAGCCAACCAGCAGCTGGTGCTGGGAGCCCGCCCCCGACCCCCTTCCACCCAGCCAATCAACAGCTGTTGCCAAGCGGAAGCTGCAGGTTGGAGGTCCGGCTGCAGAGCTAGCACAAGCAGAGTTTATGCAAGCCCAGGCCTGTGTTAGAATGCCTTTGTGCCCCCCAGACCCCTCACGTCCTCACCGGAGTGAGCAGCTCGGGGGTGGAGATGGGGGAGCAATCCCCATTCAGTTTGATGCCGCTGCCCAGGTCAAAGTCGCAGATCTTCACAGGGGAGACCTGAGAGGTGGACAGGGGGTTTTAACGGGGTTCTGTGCCAACAGGGCGGGAATTCTGCAGGCCATATACCCAAGCAGGGTGGGTATCATCCTCACCTGATTAGGGTGTTCACAGAGGATGTTCTCAGGCTTTAGGTCTCTGTGGGCGATGCCTGGGGGGAAGCCACACGGAGTTCCAATGGGTGGGGCTGGCCCTGGGCTGGGGACCCATGGGAACCCGGCAGTCCCCAGGCCCACCTTTGTTGTGCAGGAAGTCCAAGGCGCTGGCTACGTCCTGTACCACCACACTGGCCTCCAGCTCGTTAAAGTGTCGCCGCTTGTGGATATGGCTCAGGATGGAGCCTGGGGAGACCATGACCAAGAACACATCATCTCCAAGGCTCCCAGACCCCTGATCCCCAGAAGGCATGTCCCCCACTTTCCTGGGCCCGAAATCCTTGACCTGTGCTAAGGTGTGAACAGGAAACTGGTCCCACAGGCCTTTTCCAGAGTTCCCTCCTGGGGGCCCTAAAACCCACTACCCCCCAACCAGGAGCCTCCCCCACCTACCACCCCGCATCTTCTCAAACACCAGGTAGAAGCGGTCCTCCTCCTCGAAGAACTCGATCAACTCTAGAACGTTCCTGGGGGCGGGGTGGGGACAGGAGAGGAGCTGAGGCTTCCTGGACTGCACTCCCAATGCCCATCTGGCCACAGGGAAGCTGGAAATTGGGACCTGGCCCTCTGACTGCCTGCCATTGGGCCACTCACAAGCCCAGACAAGGGCCTGGGTACACCTTCCTAGGTGAGTGGCATCCATCCACGAAAAGATGCCTTGGGGCTTGTGGCAAAGGCTGGCCACCCTACCTGTGTCCCTGGCACTGGTACAACATCTCCACCTCCCGGAACACCCGGCTTCGGATGTGTCCTGGCTGTTTCTCGATGATCTGAAAACAGGTGGGAGAACATATGCTACCTACACTGCCTGAGGGCTGCTCATGCCCCTACTCAAATCTGTCTCTTCTGAAATCCCACCACCAAACTAAGGCTTTGTCCGCTTTGGGAAGTAGAGCTCTCTTATGGGGTGCTGAATTTTCTGGAAGCCAGAAGTATGGTGTTAGCACAGGTATGGGGGTGGGGCAACACATTCCCTGCTAGCAGCTTTCTGAGAACGGAAAGGTAGGAGAACAGGTTGGGGCAGCCCTCCACCCTGCTGGACAGGCCTTCAGAGCTGCCTACAGGTGTGGGGACTCTGGGTCAGGCACCCCTCAACCACAGCTCTCAGCTGCTCTGGGAGCTCAGCTGGCTCCCACATGACCCAGAGAACTAGACAGGCCTCCTGGCACCTGGCTTCCAGCCCAGCCAGTTCCCAAGTGTCCTGTGGCTGCAACGCTGAGTCTGCCTCTCTGGCTCCATGCCAGCCTGGGTGCCCCTCCTTGCTGCCCTGGTGTCCAGGTCTATTTCTCCCAGGACTCCATCGCCAGCTCTGTGCAGGTCCCTAGAGGCCAGAGCCTGCTCACTCACCCAGCACCCTGAGCTCCTCTTCCCTGAGCTGGATACTTGGGGCCCACACTGGGTGGCTGAGGCTAGGTGACCACCCATGCCTAGGGTGCCTGCCAACCAGTGCTCTAGTGCACAGGTGTGTGGTGAGCCCTCCACGTATGTGTCTAGTGACAAGCACACCTGTCCCAGCAAAGGGCCTCATGAGACACCAGTCTGCCAAGTACCTGCTGAGCACTAAGCCAGTGCTGATTATCCTGTTCCTCTGGAAGTACGCTAAGACCCTGCTTGAAGAAGCCACAGTCCTGGGGCTGGGGAGATGGCTCAGTAGAATAAGTGCTTCCCTGGCAAGCACAGGGCCTGAGTTCAATCCCTTGTTCCGCCAAAAAAAAAGTCACAGTTCCAATCCAGCAAGGGAGTAGCCTTCTGTAAAGTCACTGCTTCAAGTCCTACCTAACCACCAGCTCCATCCGGACACTGGCATCTGGAGCCCAGGCTCAGAGGTCCCACTGTTCCTCAAACTATCCTGTGCAGCCTGGGCCCCCACTACTTCCTGTGTTTCTGAGTAGGACACTTCTTTCTCCCACGGCTGCCAACAGGAAGCCCCAGATCCCAGTATGGGCCGTGCTGGGTCATGGAATGGTGATGAAAGGCAGTCAGGAGCCACCAAGAAGCCACACAAAGTGACTCAGGCTACCTACCCTCTCTGAGCCTGTTTCCTTCTTTTTGGTGGAACCAGGAATTGAACTCAGACCCTTGCACTCATCAGGGAAGCACTTATTCTACTGAGCCATCTCCCCGGCCCCTGAGCCTATTTCCTGAGCTATTTTATTTTTCTTGTTTATTTACTATATATTTAGTACAGGGTCTACAGGGTCTCACTACACAGATTGGACTTGTAGTGATCCTTCCTGGTTTTTAGCCTCCCAAGTGCTAGGATTACAGGTGTGTGTCACCACGCCCAGTCTCATTCATCAAGGGGGAGGGGTTGAAATTCCAGCCCCTGCATCTGCCTAAGCAGGCTCCTGAGGTGTTAAAACAACAGGTAGTATGGGCCAGGGAGATGGCTCAGTGGAATAAGCACTTCCTTGGCAAGTGCAAGGGCCTGAGTTCAATCCCTGGTTGGGGGGGGGGGACAGGTAGCAAAATTACCCCCAGAGCCATTAAGGGAAGCTGCTCGGGACACCTGCCATGCTTTTGCCCCACTCTAGGACCACTACTGCAGCTACTGTACCAGCCTGGGGCCTTCAGCCTTGCCAGAGGGACAGCCACCTCTCCTGTCACTCATATGCAGCAGCTTCTGGCTGCCTACCTGGGCCCTAATCGCCAGGGAGCACCTGGCCTCCTTCCTGGGCAGCTGGCCCTTCTGCCACCCTGCCCAGCTGGGAGCCAGTCACAGGGTCATGCAGGGAGCCTGGATGATTTCTCAGAACACAGGGCTGACCAGCTGGCTCTGCAAGGTCACGAGGCCACTCCAGGGTTTGGGTTTCAGAGTGTGTGGACATACCCAGTGCCCACAGGTCACATGTGTGGGGAAGGGACTCACAGGAAGCTCCCATGGACCTGCATGGGGTTCCTCCAAATGCACAGGCCCGGCTCTGAGCCCTATGTATGATGTCATTACCTTTGGGTTCCTTTGACCAATCCTCCTGGCACAAGTCCTCTTTGGAGAAGCTCAGACATAGAGGCCTCTGACCCAAGCCCTCAGCTCTTGGCAGCTGCCCTGGTACCAGGTCCTTGGCTATCAGACCATGGGAAGGGTTGAGGCCAGCCTTCATTGTCACTTCCAGTGGCTGTGGGGGCTCAGTAGGGCTCACCTGCATTCCCAGGAGTGGCCTTAATCACCAGGTCCTGGGGCCATTTTTATTTATTTATTTATTTATTTATTTATTTATTTATTTAACTTATTTAGTGCAGGGTCTACAGTGTCTCACTACACAGATAGTGATTCTCCTGTTTTCAGCTTCCCAAGTGCTGGGATTATAGGTACATGCCACCACACCCAGTCTAAATCACTGTCTCAGTGGGCCGGCATGCATGCCAGGGATCGAACCCAGCTACTGCTCTCTGCCTAAGCGGCGCTTTAATCTGCTGAGCTATCTGGCCAGCCCACTGGGGCCATTTTTAAACATTGTTTTTTTCCTGCTGTTGTCTGAAAGCTCCAGTGCTACCAACCCTCCCGACAGGTGACATGCCAGGGCCTGGGGCTGCTCCAGCAAGGGTGGGGCTCACCTTGACCGCATACTCCTGGTTGGTGATGAGGTTGATGCAGGTCTGCACACGAGCATGGGCCCCCTCCCCTAGCACATCCTCCTGCAGCTGGTACACATCTGGGGAGTGGGAGGGGTGAGGGTCGTGGCTGGCACTGTGCCTCCACCTCCCCACCACGCCTGATACCACCTCACATACCTTCAAACCTGCCTGAGAAGCTGTCAGTAGCGCGGCACCGCTTCTTCTTCTTGCCTCTTTTCTTGGCGTCTGGGATGTCGATGGGCTGGCTGGCAGGCATGTCTGTACCATGCATACCGCAGGCTCAGGACGGGCAAGGAGCCACCAGGCCACCTCCCCTCCCCCCAGGCCCCAACCCTCGCCCACTCTCCCCAGTTCCCTCACCAGGGCGGGCCTCGCACGGTGGGCTGAAGTCAGAGTCCCCGTGGTGGTCCGGGTCTAGAGAGAAGGCCAGCTCGAAAGGATTTTGCCCCTGCAGAGGTGCAGAGAGAGCAGGCTCAGGCCCAGTGGCACCAGGGCCAAGCCAAGTGCCCCCACAGTGTCCAGCATGGGAAAAAAAAAATCAAGCATGCTTCTTGTACACCCTAGACAGCAAAACAGACTCCTGCTGGGGCAGGCAGTCTGATTCAGGACCCAGCTTCTGGGACCAACCCCTCCCTGCCACCCGTCAGTGTGGCTGTCACTATATGTGGTGTTCTAGGACCTCAGCAAGGCAGGTGATCACGGGATACCAGGACTGCTAGGATCTAATAAGCTAGCCTCCCCAGAGACACTAGGGTATGTCTATTGATATTTGTACTTGTCAAAACAGGTGGTGCCGCTGGTAGAGGCCAGGGACACTGCTGAGCCCCCTGCACGGCCTAGGATGCCCACTCCAGATAACAATCTAGTCCCAAATGGCCACAGAGGCAGAGAATTCTTTGTCCAACTTCTGCCTCCAGCCTAGAACTAAGTCATGAAGGGGCCCAAACCATGTCCAGTGCTCAGTCTGCTTGTCTGCAGAATGGGGAAGTGTCTACAACCAGCTGATCTCAGGGCTCACCTCAGCGGCCAGCTGTGGGCATAAGAGGTCACTGGCAGTGGACAGCAAGAGCACCAGCCTGTTGTGCTACACCCTCTATGGCCACCTCAGGGCAGCTGAGCCCCAGCTGGGTGGCTATGGCCAAGGTCCTCAGCCTTCCAGGCCTGATTCCCTGGGCAAAGTGGGGCATGACCAGTTCTCCCCTTCAGCTGCCTGCCCTTTGCCCCCTTCGCCTCCTGATGCTCTTGCACTGGGGGTGAGGAGTCCACAAACTCAGTGATGTCCTCAGATTCTGGAGGCAGTTGCCTGGGGGTGTATTCACCTCACCCCTCCTCATCCATTGATGATTATCAATCCCCACCAATGACACTGGTTTGACAAACAGTACTGCCCTATTTGATGTGGTGACAGGGGTCTAGCTGGGTCATTCCTGGCACCTGTGGCACAAGTGTGACCAACCCTTCTCAGCCCACATCATTCTAGTCAGCCTGACACATATAGAGGGAACCCCTCTCAGCAGCAATACCCAGCCAAGAAGCCCACCCCTCTGGGGAGGGGTCTGTGGTGCCCAGGACTACAGGTTAAGCCTAGTGCTCATATAAGCATCAAATGACACAGTCTAGGATGGGTAGGAGGGTTTATGACCCTGACTAGGGAACTGGGGAGATGGCTTGGTGGCCTAAGCACCTGCTTGGCAAGCACAAGGACCTGGGTTTGACCTCTGGTACCACATGCTGCTGTGCCAGCCACCAAAACCCGGTGTGGTAGTACACGCCTGTAATCCCAGGGCTATGGAGGCTGAGATAGGAGGATCACTATGAGTCTAAGCTGCATAGCGAGACCCTGTACCAAATGAATAAATAAATGATTTAATTTTTTTTTTTTTTTTTTTGTGGGGCCAGGGAGATAGCTCAGTTGAATAAGCACTTGCCTGGCAGGTGCAAAGGCCTGAGTTTAATCCCCAGTTCCGAGAAGAAAAAAAAAAAACACCCTGACTAGGCACCAGACACTGCAGGTCCAAGACACCTTTCCCTGGTCCCCAATCCAGAGTATTGGAATAAATCTGTTTTTTGCAGAGAGAAGACCTAACCCTGACCCACGGTGTCTTGCATGAGAGGCAGGGCCTTCCACACAGGGACCCTAAGACCTAGGCAGGTCTCACTTAGCTCCTCCATCTAGTGTCAGACAGTGGATTCTGGCCCTGGGGGCTTGAGATGTGGTGAGAGGCAAGTGACACCAGTATTGATGACAGGAATTCGGCCAAGTCTCTGACCCTCTCTTCAGCCCCAAACCATCAGGCAGGGCTGACAAGAAGCTCAGTTATCCAGCAGAGAAGCCACTGAGACGAGTCAGTAAGGAGCCTGCAAACCGAGGCCAGCAAGGATCACAGTACAGAGGGAGGTGGCACCATCTTCCATGCTTCCCCACCCACCCTGCCTGGTAGATAGTTGCCAGGAGGCCAGTGCAGAAGAGGGCACCCCAGCCAGCACTGGTTGGGGAAAAGGCAGGTGCACACTGATAAGGCTCCCCGCCAAGGCAGCCACAGAACTTGGAGCAACTAGGAGGAGGGGTGGAAATGAAGGTTGAGCACAAAGGGCAGCTAATGGCACCTGCTCCCTGAGCTCGGCCCTACCTCTGGGCCTGACCTTCATACCTACACAGGACGGCTGTCCCCAGCTCTCAGAACACAGACTGAGCCTCTGGCTTATCTGGTCACAGTTGCTATAGAAAGGCTGAGACAGATGGCTGGGACAGCCACCATAGTGAAAGGCAGACCTGTGCGAGCTGTGGTGCTAAGCAGGGTCCCTCACCTGCAGGGAACCCCAGTGCTGCAGAGGAACCTTTGTTTTCTCATCATGAAAAGAAGCTAGGTGTGGTGGTGCACACCAGTAACCCCAGCACTCCAGGAGGCTAGAGTGGGAGGATGAATTAGAGACCAGGCTGGGCCACCTAGCAAGACCCCGTCTCAAAATTAAAAATGGGGCCATTTGTGGTGACACATGCTTTAGTCCCAACACTTGAGAGGCTGAAGCAGGAGAAAGTCTAGCTTGAGCTACACAGTGAGTTCAAGAGCAGCCTGAACTACCCAGCAAGGACCATCTTGAGGGGAAAACGGGGGAGGGAATGGAGCTCAGTGCAAAGGCCCTGGGTTCAATCCTTATTACTAGAAAAATAAAGGGGGCTGGGGAGATAGCTTGGGGGTGTAAGCACCTGCCTGGCAAGTGCAAGGACCCAGGTTTGATCTTCAGTGCTGCATGTCATGCTGGAACCTCAGATGCACCAAGCTGCCAACAAGACCCGGCATGGTGGTGCATGCCTGTAATCTCAGCACTGGTGAGGCTGAGCCACAGCAAGACCTTGAATCAAATAAATAGGAAAAGAAAAATGAAGCTAGGGCTGGAGTCAAGTGCTCACTAGCACACACCGGCTCTAGATTCTATCCCCAGAACCACAAAAAATAAAATAAAGCCAAGTGGTCTAGCAGATGCACCTGCTGTGCTGCAGGACTCAGGTAGGAGGGTTCCAGGAGAAATGGCCCCAACCCAAGGGAGCAGCAGCCTGGGTAAGGGTTAGAGATTCCCTGATCAAACAGCCCCCCAGCCACCTGCAGGTCTCTTCCCTGAGCAATTCCTGCAGTCCCAGCTTTAAGCAGGGTCCAGCCCTGCTGCACACAGGCCCTCCATAGTCCCAAACTGTGTGGGCAGGGCAGGGCAGGGCAGGGCTTTGCAGTGCAGCCCAGCCCAGCACAGCTCTGCCCAGCCCAGCCCAGCCCAGTCCAGCCCAGCCCAGGCCAGCCCAGGCCAGCCCAGCCCACCCCTGCTCAGGCTGCTGCCCAGAGTCAGCAGACTTTGGCAGGAGGCAGCTGGAACCATCCAGAAAGCTTGGGTTTGTTCAGCTACCACCTCTCCAGCCCATGCACTGGCCACCAGGAAGGGAGAGACCACCGTCGGTGATATATCAAATCCACCCTTCTCATACCCAGCCCAGACACTGCAGGCCAAGGCCTCAGCCACCCTAGGGGAAAACAGGGATGACAAGCATGTGGGACAGGGGTGGGGCAGCTGGCCAGGAACACTGGCTGGACAGGCCTGGGAATTCTTCCCAGACTCTCCATGCTCCTCCCACAGTGATGCGAGCCTGCGTGTACAAAACACACACACACACACACACACACACAATCTCAAGTCTTGCCTCCTCCACCGGGCAACAGGTCCCTGCCCAAGGAAGACCAGGGAAGCCAAGCCATTACATAACCTAGCCTGCGGAGTGGGGCGGGCAGGCTGACATCACTGCGTCCCCTGGGCCAGGCCCCATGGGGGCCTCTGCCCAGCACCTGGCCTCCTAGCCACCCCCAGATTCGCTCATCTGAGACCAAGACTCTGCAGCCGCCAGCCACTGTGCCGCCTCTGTGGTTGCAACCACAACTAGATCGCTGCAGAAAACTTCCCGCTCCAACAGGAAATAGCACTTGGGCCTGGGGTGCTGGGAGGGGCATCCTCTCCACTCCCCCATTTGACACAGCTGCCAACCCAGACCAGAGTTCCTGAACTAAGGTCCTCGAGGGCCAGACAGAGGTGGGGTTGGGCCTGACTCCGGGGTCGGGCCTGACTCTGGAGCCGAGCACAAACAGCTAGCATGGGATGCCAGCCACCTCGCAATTCCGGGAGGAGGGACCACACGCGGCGCGGGGGGACAGGACTGCGGTCTCTGTCCCCCACCCCATCCCACCCATACATTTGGTTGGGGCTTGTAGGGGTACACACAGCCACAGGACTGGGACCTGGAGTTACTGTAAGACAGACCCTCGAGGCCCCTGCCAGAGACGCGGCTGCGGCCTGCTGAACGCCACCCTATACACACTCTAGCACACTCCGGGCTGGGACAGCCTCGCGAGCGGGCTGGGGGCGGGGGCGGGGGTAGGGGTGGAGGAACCCCGCCTCCCGCAGGAGCCTCTGGGACGGGCTCTTCCCCCCACCGGCCACTGCGGTGGTCCAGTCTGCAGCGCCCCCAAACCGACAGGCCCTCACCTTGAATGATCGGTGGAAGCCCTGAAGTTCGGCTGTTTTCTTCTGCACCATCTTCTGTCCGGGCCCCGCCAGCGGGGGAAGGGACGCAGGGCCCAAGGGGCAGCCTGTGGGCGGGGGGCGGCCGAGGAGGGGACCCTGCGGGCGGAGGAGACAAAGGCAGGGTGGTGAGCTGCGGCGCTGACGGCTCCGCGGGGCTCGTTCCCCGCGCCTAAGTCGTGGGCTCCCGGTGGGAGTGGGAGCTCACCGGGGTCGGGGTCGGGCCGGGGCCTCAGTGCCGCCGCCGCCCGACGTCGCACAGCCCGGACCCCGCTCCGCGGACCGCGCGGGGAACAGCGCCGCCACCGCCGCCACCGCGGACTCCTCCGCCTGGGCCACCGCCGCTGAGAGGAGCCGGGCGCGCTGCCGCTACCGCCGCTTTTATAGTCCCTGCCTCCACCTCGCAACCCCCGCCCCCACGCAGACCCCGCCTCCTAACACGCCCCCTGCGCGCGCTGGGGGCGGAGCTTACAGTCTGTGTGCGCTTCGGGTGCGGTAGTTGTCCGAGACGCCTCGCTTGCGCTTGCGCAGTTAGACACCCTGGGCCCTAGGCGCAGAAGCTCGGCTGTCCCTGGCGGGGCTGTCCGGTGGGCCGGTTGTGAGCTGCCCGAGGCTCAGGGGGTAGGCGGAATCCTGGCATGAAGCTGAGCCCTGCCGTCCGGCCGCCTGTAGGGCAACATCCCTGGCCTATTGGCGTGGGCCCAGCATACTGATTGCCTTGGACGACACCCCAGCTCTATAACCTGCGTGGTTGTGGAACCATTCTGCGATGCTGGCTCCACCTGGCCCCCTTGCACACCCCCATCACACTTGGAAGCCATCCTGTTTCTCCTAGCGGTAGAGAACTGGCCGCAATTACTTATATCCTAACTGAACTGGGCACCCTTGCTCAGGGAGCAGCCACCTTGGCCCACATGGACTACCCCTCTGGTTGCCTGGTTGTTAGCAGGGACCAGAGGCCTTCCGGGTGACTGGGAAATCCGCTCTGGGCTGGGTCTCCAGCCTGCACGCCCGCAAAAGGCCCTGGGCTCTGAGGAGCTCGAGCCCCATTGACCTAAAGCTGGGTACACCCTTTTCCCTGCCAGGCTGCCTCTGCCCACCTGCTATCTGTGGCATTTGAAGGGGACTTTCAGGGACTTCCAGAGCCTGCCCTGGGCTGTTGCAGTTCTGTGAATCTTGCCCATAGATGGAGAACCAAGAGTCCTGGCGGGTTCTACCTGCTGTGTGTTTGCAAGTGTGCCTGTGAGTTTGTCTAGAGCCTCACATGCTGGCCCCAGGTGCCAGGGTGAGGCCGCCAGACCTGCTTGGCAGGAGAGGCCTCTTCTGCTCTCCCTGCAGCCTCCTGCCTGACTTGCTCCCACTGTTTGTGTGCAGGGTGACCCTGTGTAGGGCTGAGAGTTGCTCTCACAGGCTTGCTTGTGCTGGTGTGTATTAAAGGCACCTACTGATGTTACTGTTTGCCTCCAAATGTCACAGCCATGACAGCATCAATCTGTCCCCTGCAGGTCTAGGGCCTAGGATAGAGCCTAGCACCCATGGTGCCAGCTGAATATTGGCTGAAAGGAGGATGTGTGTGAGTGTGTGTGTGCGCATGTGAGTGCGTGTACATACAGGCATATGGGTTGAGTAAGCAGATGGCTTCCTAGAGCTTCAGTGACAAAGGACCACATGGGTGGCTTTAATGACAAGAATTTACTCCCCCATAGCCCTGGAAATGGGAGTCTGAGATCTAGAGCTATGTAAGGATTTGCATCCTCTGAGGCTTCAGGGAGGATCCTTTTGCTTCTTTCAGCTTCTGGTGGCTCCAGGTGACCCTTGGCTGATGGCCACATCCCTCCAGTCTGTCTCCATTGTCACAGGGCCATCTCCATATGTTTCAGAGCCCAAATTTTTTTTTACTCTCTCTCTCCTTTTTGTTTCAATACTGAGAATTTAACCCAGGCCCTTCGCACTGAACTATATCCTCAGCTCCTGGTATTATTATTATTTTTTTAATGTATTTGATTGTTACAGGGTCTCACTCTGCAGCTCAGACTCATAGTGATCCTCCTGTTTGCAGCCTCCCCACTACTGGGATTACAGGCATACACCACTGTGCCCAGACTCTGGCCTGCTCAGCCCACCCTTGGAGCGGGGCTGGCGCAGCTTGTGGTGTCCAGGATTGAACTAAGCTTGTCTGAGCTTGCCTAGCAGGTGCTTTAGTCCACTGAGCCATCTCACTGGCCCTCTTTGTATTTTTTTGAGACAGAGTTTCACTAAGTCATTAAATTGCCCAGTCTGTGCTTGAACTTGTGATCTTCCTACCTCAGCCTTCCATACATGGCTCTGGGTTCCCTAGGGAGGCAGGTCACTCATGAGCCACCCTGGTTGCACCCTCTGGGGGAGTTGGATCCTGAAGGTTAAGGAGACAGGTCTGGCCTCACATCTTCCTGACTCAGCCTCCTGAGTGCTGGGATTGCAAGCATGCACCACCATGCCCAGCAATACACTCCTGTGTATTCATGTACACCTTGGGTACAGATCTACATATCACCATGTTGGCTGGAATACACAGAAAGGGTAAATTCCATCAACTCTCTTTCCTGGGAAAAGACTAGAGACTCCCAGAGACCAGCACTCAGCCTGGGACAGGGGACTGGCTAGAGCAAGGTCACCTCTGCAGGCAGCCAAGCCCACAGTTGGCCTGCACCTGGGTGGGGCAACCAGGGAAACTGGGAAGGGGGTGGCCTGTTGCAGGGCTGTGACACACAGCCCAGCCCTATGCCAACTACTGAAATCTCCTCTTTGCAGATGCCCTGTTCACAAGTTCCCCCAGAGGTGCTCGGCACCCACTGGCCTCTCCTGCCTGCTGTGTCTCTGCTGTGGAGCTCTGGGAGGGAGACCCTACCTTCCCTGGGGAAAGGGCACCAGATAGCTTGGAGGAAACCTGGGCTCTGGACTCTATTCCGGTTTCCTCTCTCCTTCCGGAGCGTGGCTGGGCTGCACTGTGAAAGTGACTGGGGCAAAGGACAGAAGAGCACAGAATGGGCATGCTGTGCATGTGGGGCCTGGGAAAAGCCCACAGGTTCCCAGAGGTGGAGACCAGCCTGGAGGGGGACCGCCAGATTATTCCCAGGGACTGGGCAGTCTGAGGCCACTAGAGCAAGAGAGAAGGTCCTGGGAGGCGTTGGTCCCAGAAGGAGGACAAACAGGAAGCAAGGTGGGGCCCTAGGCGTGGTGCCAGCGTCCTGCAGCCGATGGCACAATTCCCAGCTCATTGCTTTCTCCCTGGGCAATCCTGTCCCTTCCCACCTAGTGCAGGAATGGGACAGGTGAGAGTCACCTACCGAAGCCACAATCCTGGACCCTTACTGTTCCACTTTGGAATAGTATTGGTGACAGATTAGGCCCAAGGAGGCAGGGTCTTGGAGAGGGCCAGTGTGGCCTCCTAGGAGAGTGGCTGTGTGAGTGGACTCATGTGGCCCCCACTGGCCCTCCATGGCAAGTGCTGCCTCTCTGTTAGTGACCCCAACCAGCCTCCTGGTCCATGCTCAGTCCTGTGTCCCTTCTCCCATGCAATGACAACAGCCAGCTTGGCCTGTTCTCTGGGCCAAGTGGCCTGCAAGTATCCCAGGCTGAGGGTTCGAGAATCCTAGGCACAGTGGCCCCCAGCCCTCAGTATTCCCAGGGATAAATCATATTTTCTGTGGGCCACAAGGGTGTCCCAGACCCCAGTACCAGCCACCGGTCAGGGCCACTACATCAGGGTCCCACAGCCAGGAAAGCTGTCCAGCTAAATTTGAATTTCAGATTAAAAACAATAATAATAAGTACCATAAATAAGTACTATAGGGGCTAGGGAGATGGCTCAGTAGGATAAGCGCTTGACTGGCAAACGCAAGGATCTGAGTTGAATCCCCGGTTCCACCAAAAAAAAAAAAAAAAAAAAATACTATATATCCCAAGTCTGAGTAATGCAAACAATTACTTCTTCTTTTTTTTTTTTTAAGGTGAACAGTGTTCATTTTTTTTTCAAAGTTTTATTGATAAACAGATAGCAATGAGACAGTTTCAAATCAAATCAGAAGTACAGTTTCAACAAATAATACACTGCATATATTCTTCTTAGTGGTTAATTACTGTACAAACAATTACTTCTTACTAATCTGAAATTCAAATTAACTGGCCAGCCTGTGTTTTCTTTTATTTATTTAGTGGTACTAAGGCTGAACACAGGGGTTCTGTTCCACTAAGCTATAGCCCATCCCTTACTTATTTTTATTTTTTGGTACTGGGGATGAAATCTAGGGCCTTTGCACTGAACTACAGCCCCTGCCCTTTTTTGTTTTTATTTTTCAATTTTGATTCTTTTTTACACTCCCCACTCTCCTTTTAAAAAAATTTTTCACTTTGAGACAGTCTTGCTAACTTGTTCAGCATGATCTTGAGCTAGAAATCCTCCTGCCTCGACCTCCCAAGTAGTGAATAGATGGGAGTTACTGATGTACACCATGGCACCTGGTTATACTGTATTTTATTTATTTATTTATTTATTTATTTATTTATATCTTGTATTTTATCTGCTAATCTATCAGGGCATGAGAGTAAAGACCTTTTTCCTCCCCCTCCGTAAAAATGTCAGGTGCATGGGTGAGAGAAATTGGGGGTGTCTGAGAAGGCAGCTGTACAGACTTAGGCAGCAAGCCTGTGGCCAAGTAGGGCAGACTATGTGCATTGTGGGAGGGGAGATGTGGGGTGAGCTCACACACACTTGGCCTGCACACACAGCTATGCAGCATGTGCCCAACATGGGTTGGTGCAATGGGGCTGTTGCTGGGACCATTGCAGCATTCCCATGAGCCTGCAGGCCCAGGCTCGGATCCGCCTGCCCCACTCGCACCCGGGACCGGAAGCTCAAAGGTTCTTGAATTTAGGGGAAATGCAGTCCAGGTCTCCAGTCCTGACACCCTGCCTGGTGCACACCCCACCGTGTTCAGGGATGGGAACCACAGTCAGGAGGGTCCCCAGGTAAGAGAGAGGCACAGTCATGGCACTTCATGACTGTGGAAGTGCCGGCTCCCTGGCTTTGGGCCTATCTGATGCAAGTGGCTGTAAGTGTCCCTTCCTGCCAGCTGACTCAGGCGCTCCATTTCAGTGGCTCAGCAGTGTGGGGACAGAGCCAGGACCCACTGGCCAGTGTTGGGGGTGGGGCTACCCTGGGTGGGGCCTGTAGTGGTGGGCCTGGGCCTCCTGTCCCCTGCAGCTGTGAAGGGGCACATTTCCTGCCTCCCTGTGTCCTGCACTGCATTGTTTCCAAGGAAGGGGGGGGGGTGTCATGTGGTGGGCAGGGCTGGGCCAACAGATGGTCAAAGGCCACC